CGCCGGTGTCTTTGGGCCAGGCTCCCGCTGACCGGCTGGCAGTTTATATAGGCCAAAATCGAACACAGCCCGAGTTTGCCAGGTACCACTTTTGTTTTGTTTTTAAACGGAAAATAAAAATAAAAACAAAACTAGGTGCATTAAAAAAGTTTTACATTGCACTATTTCAAGTCAAACTATATGAGTGAAAAGTGCTGTTCTTGCCTTAGCAGTTTTAAGGCTATAAACCGTTGTGTGGCAGTTCTTTTTTTTTTTTTTTTTTTTTTTTCCCCCCCTTGAATTTCTGACAGTAAAGTTTTAAAAGATAATTTTCTTTGAATCTCGTACAAAATATCAGGGAGGAGATTTTTTAAAAATATAGATATTAAAAAAGTTAATTCAAAGTACAAATGTAGGATTTAAGGTAAATGTGACATTGCATGAACTCTTACATTAATGATGACGGGCTAATGGTTGTCAGATCTTCTTGGTTCCTTTATTTGTCTGGAATGAAAGAGCAGAAATTGTAATTCTTGAGAGTTGATAATACTTAGATTTTAGTTCCCTTTTGTTTTTGCCACTAGTGGACTCAATTGTCAAAATAAGATTTGGGTTACTAGGACACATAAATTAGTTGAAAACAGACTGTGAAACTTAGATTATATTTAGCACTCTGATTTATCTTCATATTTTCATTTGTAGCAAAGGTGACAAAATAGATTTTAAAAGATAATTTTATGTATAAAAATTTACAGTTTTTTTAGAACCTGTAAAATTGTCACAGAATGGTTAATATTTATAATATTTCACTTTATTAAATGTTTATAAATACTAACTTAAAATAAATATATTTGTTTCTGAATAATGCTGTTTTTTCAAAAAGGACCTACTTTTTATAGATTCATATTTTAAGAGTTGTTTTAGTAGCACTTCTTGGAAAACACAACAGGTTCTAACTTCACTTTTTTCCCCCGTGGCTTCTACAAACTACCTACTATGCTGGGAAATAAAGAGTGGATTGTATTTCAGAGAAATAATGTATGCACTTTATTTTTCTTTGTTGGTGATGTGTTGACTTACCTAATACTTGTGGTAAAATAGTCCCTAAAAACCAAAATGCACTGCATTGTGGACCCTTGCTAGTAATATTGAACACTAGACTTATATTTGGACCATTGAAACGTACATTCTTTTAATTTTGGTCCTGGCTGATATATCAATCTAATTTCTGGTGACTTTTATTGGGGCCCTATGAGAATGTCTGGAATTTTTTATATTAAAATGAGTAGCTCTTTGCCATTTAGATTTTTGCCACAGTGCCTAAACTGTCTGTCTGCTGATGTTGTAGCATACGTCATTTAGCTTTTGAATCAACACACTGTCTTTAAAATTTAAAAGTGCTTGTTCCAGTATTTTAACTATTACATAAAAATCTTATTTACTGCCCTAGTATTTGGAACTTTCAAATACTGTGCTATCCCCAAAGAAAGATTTTGCAGTTTTCTAAGATATGTATCATTCATCAAGCAAAGATAAATTTAAAACCATCGAAGAGCAGGCAGCTTTAGGGAATAATGCTTTTTAGGTCTGTCATAATCTGGTCATAATAATATGGTCTATCATAAACTGATTTTATTGTCATTTGTATAACTTATAGTTAGGGGCTTGGTTGGTTAATTTAGTTCAAATATTTAGCTTCCTTTTCTGTAAAATGAACAAGGTAGGTACAGTTTCCATGTCTCTTCTAACTCTAGGATCTTGTAGTACTGTTTTTGTTTAACCCCGAAAAGCCACTCTACTACATCTGGTTCAAACTTCTGATTGTCAAGACTCTGACTTACTACACATGTTAAACTGGTCTACCTGTAGTCAGATCTGATGGGTGTGGTTACAGCTTTCCAGATCCCAGATCAGCCTCAGGATTCTATTGATATCTGGCAGGTACCTTAGTACTAAGTACAGACTTCCTTGGTATTAAGATTTGGTAAGTTTCTTTCTTTTATTTAATAGCAGAAATTGCTGGTAATATCATAGGGTGGATGGATGCTCTTTATGACTGCTGAAACTCAGGCCCTAACACCATTGATTGCTAATCAATTTTCATATTTTGGCCCAGGTTAGGGATGCCACCAGAGTTACCTAACCTTTTCTGTGGCTAGAAAGGCTAAGTAACTAGTAATCTGGAAAGAGTCCAAGCAAAATGTCTTTACTGAGGTAATCTGATCTCACAGAAGACTAGATTGAATCTACTTACCTACTTTATTCAAAATTAAATTATCTTCCGAAATGAGGATATTCAGGTATTTAATTGATAATTTGTTAGCATTTCTTATGGTTATATAGCTATCTCAAAATTTTACTGTGATCCTTCTATATTTTCATTTTCTTGGGCATAATATATTTTACTTTTAAAAGGCTTAGCACATTCCCTGATCGCTTTCATATATTTATGTATATGGCATTCTGAACTTTCATCTGTGGCTTTTAGGGAAGTAGATATAAAGGGACAAGAAATACCTCCCATAATAACTTTATGGGAGGTATTGGATATTACCTCATTTAAGTCTATTGCAAGTAACAGAAATGAACTTGAGCTAGTTTTTAGCAAAAGAAAAGTAAAAAAGAAAGAAAGGAACTTGTTGGAAGATGTTTGGAAGCCAAATGCAGACAGATCTTATTAGGGCTTGGGACCAGGGATTAGAAAATCTAGAACATTCCCTGTATGTAGTTTTTGCTTTCCTTTATTTCATTGTTCTCTCTTTGCTGACCATTTTTTGTGTTTTTTTAAAAAATCTATTATTTTTCAGGGTTGACTATAACTACTCAGCCGCTCCTGGGTATTTACATATCCCTTGGTTGCAAGCGCATGCAGAGGCTAAATTATTGAGCAGAAGAATCTGATAATTTGAGTCACATAGTTGCTATAGACATTCCTTTATTCTATTTCTAGAGTTATCTGTAGTATATAGTTCAACCAGTTAGATGGCCTGAATTTTAATTTTTTCATTTTGTATTTTGGAATTATTGTTCTTTAAAATGTATAGTTTCTCCTGATTGCATTGTTTGTAGAACTGTGTGTCAGGGTGATTCTAGAGCACAGTTCATACTGCTGCAGGTAAGCTGAAGAGTAAGGTTGTAAGGAATAAACTGAGTGGAGCACCACAAGCAGAAATTAGAAGGTTGGCATGCAACTAAGTTATGAAAATCCTATCTGATAAAACTAATCCATTCTGTAGATAATTATGTGCATATTTCCTAGAATTCACTGAATAAAATGATGAGCCCAAATAGTATAAATTCATTAAAAGTGCAAAAGTTTTAGAGATATTCAAAATAGAAGTAGTTTAGGGACCAAGAATTCATTAGTTTAGGCTCTTCCTGCTCCATGCAAATCATTTGGCATTGAAGTCCTTAATTAAGGAATATGTCAGATGAGTATTTTGTAATTTCCTTGGGCTGCTAGGACATTTTTGTACCTTGGTTGGCACAACTTGTACCACTTTTTGTTGTAGTTAAATCCATATATATTCCTCTTCTTCACTAGACTCTAAAATCCCCTATGCTGAGGAATCTCCTAGAAGAATTCTGGTAAGGCTTTTAACGTCTCTTTTCTCCGGTTATATTAATTCTGATTTTTTTCAAATACTCTGAAGTTTTTATGACATCTGGCTTGCTACTGCCTTCTTCCTTTGGCATTGGAGCTTAGAAACACTTCTCTTGCCAGGTGTGGTGGCCCACGCCTGTAATCCTAGCACTCAGGAGGCTGAAGCAGGAGGATCATTGTGAGTTTGAGACCAGCCTGGGCTACATAGTGAGTTCCAGGTCAGCCTCAACTACATAGTAAGACCCTGTCTCAAAAAAGTAAAAAATTAAAAAAATTAAATAAAATTAAAAAAAGAAATACTGCTCTTTTTCTTAGTCTTTTGTCTTTTTTTTTTAGATACAATAGGCTTTTCCATGAATATTCTGATTTCCTATATGAAGATGAAATATATAGAATTACAAGGATGTTTTTCTGTCAACTGACATGGGGAGGGAGAAGATAGCAAATTCATGGAAGGGATTCAACTTTTATTAACAACCAATATTTACTAGATCAGATGGAGAGGAAGTGTAGAGTAAAAAAATGAGCACATATAAAGAGATAAAGGATGGTGAATTTGGTTTTATTTAGAACAAGGAAGGTTTTGAATTCTAGGCCATGGAATTTGGAAGGAGTAAGTTATGAAGTTGAAGTTTTTTTGATCCTTGAAGTGTCATACTTA